ACCAGAGGGTTTTAGTGAGAGAGTAACGACGCGTGTTCGCTGTATTCCTGGTCTGGAGTTTGGAAACGCTGCCTTCAAATGCGAGTCAAAGATTTCATTTGGCGAATTTCAAGTCACCGAGTCTCCTGGGACAAGTGAAAATGATTGATTAAAACTACATGTTGGCTTAAGGGCAAATTGCGAGAACTAGTGTTCGATTAAGGGTAACTCGAGGGTGAAAGAATTATGCATGTACTTGATGATTACGTACGACAGTAATGATGATAATATACTCTGGGCATCTGTATAATGTGACCAACATGTTAAATATACAATACTCACGCGTCGTGCTGTTGACAAGGAACAATGGTACGCGTGGTCTCTTTGGGAATTACTTATTCATCCTTTTTACATGCTGAGATAACGGAAAGTCGATTGGGTAATGGAATCCAATATTACTGAACGTAATCATTTCGCGCATAGATATAAAAATATAATTCAATGTTGCTTCAATCATATTAGAAGCCGGGACGGATGGGAGTCTGGGCCCTCAATATGATTGGATAAGATGACAAGGAAATTAGTTTTCTTGAAAGTATTCTGACTTTAATGTTGATGTATAGAACGCGAGTTGTTCATCATGCGCAGCTCTTTATGGGTCCTTCGCGGCCTGGCATAATTCAAGAAAAATGGGCTGACGTTATTATGCATTTTTCTTGATTTTAACAGCGATATAAATAAATATCATTTCAAATTGTCGATTTAGTGCAATTCTTGCGATGCGAAGAAATCACCATCTATGTCATTTGATAATGGAGATTCTAACACCGGTCATATATTTATGACCCGGTCATATTTTCCTAATCACAACCATTCATCACAACTAAGATGACAAATAAATCTTCTTCTACTCCCGTCAACAAAGAAAATAGACTGCACCAAATTGATTCTTTCCCTGTAAGCTGAGCACGGCATGCAACCACCAGGGAATCAGTCGACGGGCTTCGGCACTTCTCAAGGCAATCATTCCCCAAACCGGTGTAAAAGGAATTAATGTCCCTGGGGAATCTATCCAACATGTTCTATCTCCTCTCGTCAACAGGGAAGACGCCATGTATTACATTATCAAAGCATTCTAAATTACGCAAGTGATATTTCAAATTATGAATTTGTTTTCTCGATTAGACGAAGATTACTGATAGGAATGTTGAAACGTTATAAAACGGACCTTATCAGTAAAAAGAAAAGTATCCCGGATCTTTTGCTCCAGGGAATCCTTGTCATTATGTAGGATATGATTGCCTGTAAAACCCTATCTTTGCTTCACAGATATGACCTGTAGCAACAAGAACTACTTAATATTTGATACTTTAATTCCGATCATAACTTTGCCGTAGGCAGTCTGGTGTTTCTTTCAATTTCTTTCTAAGGATTCTTCCAAAGAGACGTCAGTTCCGCTATGAAGATAAATTCATTTTTGGGATTTCAGGAATTTTTGGAATTTTGCTCTTCTTTTGAGGATAAGAACCACTTATCATTTTAGTACTATTTTTGTTGGTCTGAGAAAGCAGAGATTAATTCTTAAATATATGATGTTCTCACAAAAGTCACTGGGGGAAACTGCCAGGCTCAAACTGGTATCCAGGTGATACAATGCGAAGATGGTAGAAAGCTTTGATATGATACTTTAGGACAACAACATTCCTTAATCCATTGGCGAATCCAGGGGGTGGGGGAGGCCCAACCACCACCACCTCCCTCTCCCCCCCCCCCCCTTTTTTTTCTTCTTCTTTGTTTTTGGTTGAAAATTCCTTGATCAGCCTATGTAATCTAGTTCTCACTGACGTGGATACTATACAGAAAGCTGTCTATCTGTGTTTAGAGGTTCTGGACAATTTGTCATAAACGAAGACTCAAGGCCACTTGATGTTTATGGGAGAAGGATGTGTGAGGCGTGAAACTTCATCATCGATCACATCAAAGGGAAGTTTGGGGGTGGAGCAGTTTAACCCGGCGGGGGCGGAGTGGGGGTATCCTAGACTAACAACTAGTCTCTGAAATGAACATATTTTACTGAAAAAAACGTTCATAGTAAAAAAATATATATATAATGAAAAGGAGCCCTGAGACTTTCTTCATTTTCAAAAAGCTGAGGAAATCTAGACTTGCCACATTTTCTAGACTTGCATGGGCTTTCTTGGATATATTTGCTTCAGGGTCTGTACGACAGACTAGGGGGATCCCTGTGGGCGCCAATACTACTCGCCTTCTTGGCGATCTGTTTCTTTGTAAGAAGCTCAACTGAGGTTCAGGTATATCGACGGTCTCATTATCGTTCGATATCCCATGTCCCTTCGACTGATATACCCACCTGTACTAGAAATAAATAACACCAGCCGCTTTCATATTTAGATCTAAGTGTGATGATACAGACTGATGACAAACTCCCCGAGACATGACTTCAACTTTCCCAAAGTCAACCTTCCCTTCATCACAATAGTCTTGTGGTTCCAACCTTTAGTGTCCACGCTTCACAACTTTCCAGTGTGTAATCAAGCATGCTGTTTCCACAACGACATCAGCAATAACTATGACAGCAACAGCTGTGGTATTTTATCAGTCTCGTATTCAATTAGTTTTAACTGTTCCATTAATCAGCATATATATTACTTCCCACATTTTTTCCACAACATTCAAATTTAACAAAAATACATTTAAATGGCACATTCGCTATATACGGGGCGCTGAAGCATACACCAGTACGGTAAGTGTCACTGAATGCCCTAGCATTACCTCAGTCAATGTTTTTATAAACATTTTCCCGTTACTATGGTTACTAGAGACGATTTGAATATCATCATTGATCAACGTCGCGCTGAAATAAGTTCTGATGATATCTGAACTTGACAAAAACATATGGTTGTGAAGTCTAAATTGAAAATTAAATCACTTTCGCACTTGCATGGTAAGGGGCTCTTCGATGTTGAAGAGACTTTTATCATCAGGAAAAAGAGAATTCCCGAAGATGCATCACATCAAAGCACTTCCTCTGTCAGAGAGAACACTCGGATGATGACTTGGAAAGACAGGATTAGTCATAACTGTAATGGTAGTTCGAGAAATCGATGTGGTGATGTGGTGTACTGTTTCCTGATATTGTTGTTTTCTGTCCTTATCAGTACATACACACATACGTACATATGTACACACACACACAGACGCACAGCTCAAATATCACTGATTGCTATGTATACGTGTATATCAGCATCACTGTACCTATCAACGTCACACATTGGCTACTAATGTATGTGCTGTAACTATAAATAAGTGAAGTTATGGTGCCATCTGCGGGCATTCGCAGACTTTTTCTATAGAAATATCATTGATTGTTTTGGGCATTCGCAGACTTTTTTTTCTATAGAAATATCATTGATTGTTTTGTATACTTGTATATCAGTATCACTGTACCTATCAACGCCAGCATCACACCTTGGCTTCATGTACTGTACCTATAGATGCGTTAAGAATGGTAAATAGGGCATTCTTTTTCTAAAAATATCATTGATTGTTTTGTATACTTGTATATCATATGTGGTGCAAAATTTACCTGTCAACACAGATACCTATATACGTCATACCGACAAACTTTCTGAACCACCATAGGTACCAATGTATATATACATATGCGTATCTCTACCTAGCCACCCTGCGACCTCACCCCGCTTCTCATCTTTGTGAATCCTACAAATTACCTTTATATATTATATATGTTACACATCTATCTACCTGCCTGCCTACACGTCCTAATCACCTACTTGCATTCTTCATATCCTTCTCCCATCATGCCTACCAAAACCATGCATACACATCTAACTCAGTACCTATCATTATCCGTGCACGTGCCTAGCAAGATATTACATACTCTAACTCGGTACCTACATTATCCGTGCGCGCAAGATATTACCTACGCACGCGCGCACACACACACACACACACACACACACACACACACACCTCCCTCGATTACCTACCAACCCACCCAACAACCCACACTCCCTCAGTTACTTACCACCCACTACCCTATCGTCCACATTCCTTAGACCGCCCTACCAACCACTTACCCAGTTATCCATCTATTCCGCAAACTCTTCCCTGTAAATACATATCGCTAGTTCACAGCCCTCCTCTTCACATGGCCTAAATATGCACAACGTCAACTCCACTTTCATCCATGGCCTAGCATTAAACACGAGGCGGCTGCGCAATCTGTCAGCGTGAAATCACATCGTTTGGTAACCTTGAATTGATTTGGTGACAAGGGCTCATTCAAAAGAATTACTGACGTTATGCAATTGTGAAAATTTAAATTGCTATCTGCAAGACGGAGATCTCTTTTCAAACAAGGAGGTCGTTCTTAAGGAGTCATGCCAGAAGTCAAAATTGGCTTCCTTCCTCGTACAACGTCTTGTGTCAGAATAATTACTCTAGTTGGGCAAATTGCAGCAGAGTCAATCTACAGAGATCAGAGTTAACCTTCACAAATCAAAACCTTTCATCACATCCATAAATTCTTCGTTGCCATCTACACAAGCCTTGATGTTTTTCAGCTTCAACATGAAAGTTTTTAATCTCTATGTTGATAAGACCATTAAATCATACGGAAACATATTAATTGTCTTCAAAACATTAATGTCAAAGCAAATTAGATTTTCCCCGCGATGTAAAGGAATTTCGTTAGGTTATAAGTTGGAGCACTACTGATATACTGATGTACATATATACCCACATAATATACCAATATTCCAATATTTACATTTTCACTGTAATACCTGGGCGGTAGGGTAGGCAAGTGGTTAAGGTTCGTGCTAGTCTAAAGCACGTGTTCGACTTCCCACATGGGTGCACTATTTGAGGGATATTTTTTTATGTCTCCCGCTGGGATATTCTTGGATTATTGTCAATGGTGGCGTTAAATCCAACTAAATCACACTCTATAATACCTGATAATAATTATAGTGCAGGTCTCATTGGAACTGGGGATACTAGTGGCTGGATGTGACGACCCAATGATATAAGGCCCCGCTATATTGTGTGCAGAGTTTGCCGGAACAGGCTCTACTGACCGTACTTCCAACCCGGAAATGCTTCTGAGAATGACCCTTGACCACAAACAGTATAGGAATATCAAAAACACGCCAATAATGTTTATACTTTTCATATATGGACCGACCAAAGCAAGGGTCCTCTAGTGTAATATGTTACAACACTGGTATGTTGTCAACGAAACTTCAGACAGTACATGTCGAGTGACGCAGTTTATCAGGTTTACATATGCTAATTTCCAACTTACTTCTTACCATCTTCAAATCATAAGGATCAACGCCATCATCATTTTATAAGGGACCTGAAATACAACTTTAGGTCAGAGAACAGACTATTTTTGGACATCCATTTCTTCACTTGCATGAAAGCAGCCTTCATTATATTTGTAAAACCTTCACGAACAAGGATTTTGTTTGGAATTCAAATTAGATTTGACAAGACCTAATCTAAGGTCACGTTATCGAAATCCTTAGAGGAGCAAGCTTCTCCTCGTGACTAAACATCGTCTATCGCTTCATTCTCACCTCTCTGCAGCTGCAACCAGACCTTCAAAAAATACACAGCTACTGCTCAACCCAGATGAAAGAGACCCCACTACCGGAGATTAAACCTAGTACATCATAGATTGAGCTGCAAAAAAACCATTTGCTGAAAGCTAAATAAAACATTCAGAGTTGTTCCAAGGATATGAGTGAAAAAACATAGCTCTGAGTGAGTGATTTATCCCGAGCTACTTCTTATGCCTCTTTACTCTTGGGGTCCTTTGAACCCGGCTAACCATATACACAATTCAGTTTCATATGGCTATCTGTACCGTTCCATCTAGAGGGGAGCTTAACGTCTTTGGTATGGCACTATCCTTGCAAGATGGAAACGGTTTTTGTTTGTTATTCAATCAGTAAGATGTTTCTTCATCTCACGGGAGCCACAAGTCCCGGTTTTATCATGCTATTGATTTTTCTATCGACGGTTCCATGGAGTGAGGAAATGGCGATGTCTTCAACTGGACTCGGCGCTAATGCTGGCAATCAGGAACGACTCTCCCCAGGGAGTTCAGATGGGCTTTCTTTTAATATGGTATTCGGTTAATTCCAATGTATTGAGTGAAGTCACGTTTGTACAGTATTTTGTTGGTGCACATACGCGTTATTAATGTTTTAGCGTTTCATAACTTCTCCCTCGATATTTTCTGGAAATAGCATACGGCTTTTATCATGTATATCGGCTCCAAGGCAACACGGCGAGGGACTTCGATTGGTTAAAAGTCATTTTATTGAGCTTATAGATAGATATCTTTTGATTTCAATACCCTCCAGATGAAGACGCTAGTATACCTATTATAGGTAAACGATTGATATCTAATCAGCCATTTCCAAACTTAACATAATACCACATGCATTATATTCCTTTTACAAATCACAATAGTAAAGGATATATTAAAGGGACATTCAGAGGAGGTGGTAACGATGACGACTGAAATTACTTTTCTTTCTGTGCAACGTCCCGATGTAAAGACGAATGCATTAATCCTGTATTCTACAGGAAAGTCCACACCGTCCTGTACACGAGTCTCAAAGATCCAGTGCAGCTGTGAAGAAACATATTTGGGAGAAACAAGGTCTACCAATATCTGGCATCACGTCACTGACCAAACAACACACATCCACCACCTCAGTTCACATGCAACATCACCCAGCCAACAGAACTAATGGACCATTCCCGAAAATCATCATAAAGAAAAAGAAGACATTGGCATCAACAGATTCACAGCGTTCATCAACAAAGACCAGGGTTACCTCATCAATGTATGATGACATGGTCATGTATGTTGTCATGGTAACTCAGCGGGATTGATCGTTACTCAGCCCCAGGTGTGCCATCATACAGAGGTCATAACGTGTGTCTCGAGATGGGATTCGAACTCTGAACCCTGTGATTCCAGGTCGGATGCCTTGTCAACATGACAGCTTGTGTTGCGTTATTGCGCTCAAAGACGTCACTGATTTCGTATTGTCGTCTACCGGTTGTGTGAGATGTGCATTTTGTCATGCTGTTATTGGTGACACGTATTTTTTTTGACAATTTTAAATGGAAACTGGGCACAACATTTCGTATATACGCGAACCTGTATCGGTTGTTGAGAAGACACGGTTGATTTAGGGACTGTGTCAGTGCAGCGTGTCGGTACATGAGCTGGTCGCTTTATCAACCAAGATATTGTTTTACTGGATAAAGTTCCAAGCAACTCTGCTGAAACGGCACTTTAATATAAAACCATCTTCATTCATACACGAGCTTCTAAATTGCCGCTTAAATATATTCATATTTATATACCTGAAGATTGTTGACAACTGCAACATTCACCAACAGTGTCTAGCAGTACCACAAGAAGCAATATATGACTTGTATAGTCATATTGAAGATTGTTGACAACTGCAACATTCACCAACAGTGTCTAGCAGTAGCACAAGAAGCAATATATGACTTGTATAGTCATATTGAAGATTGTTGACAACTGCAACATTCACCAACAGTGTCTAGCAGTAGCACAAGAAGCAATATATGACTTGTATAGTCATATTGAAGATTGTTGACAACTGCAACATTCACCAACAACGTCTAGCAGTAGCACAAGAAGCAATATATGACTTGTATAATCATATTGAAGATTGTTGACAACTGCAACATTCACCAACAGTGTCCAGCAGTAGCACAAGAAGCAATATATGACTGTTCTTAAAGGAAATGCAGTACAGACACGTGTACTCTCTTCTAATTTTGAAGCTGCAGTGAAGAATGCCTATGTGTTGTATGTTTTGATCATATAATGATTAAATCCATCTTGTCAGACATCGAGGTGACATATCTACAAAATAAATAACCTTTTAACATTAGTGTAATGGTATACACAATCTATCACACATACTACGAGGTTGACAAAGCTACACTGAAGACAGATCAGTGTTTAGTTTTTAGTTTTTCCTGCAAACACATAAATAGGAAAATGCTATTGTTATCACATTGTACCAGCATGGTCTTCAGCAATGAAACGTCAATTTAGAATTCGATTTTTATTGCTATGTTTCACTTCAACAACTCGACCCGGGGTTAAACATTCACTGATCGGTTTTTTTCTAGCAATCAAACAAACTGAACCGCACAAATTATACGAATAGCATTCCCTCCACTTGACCCTGTGTGACAATGTAATCCACTAAAAGCCGTTCTGACCACACAATCCAGCAGAAACCTCAGTGGCCAATCAATCCAGCAAACATCCCTGTGACTATACAAGCCACAAGAAGACACCGTGACCACCGTCTACCAGAAACCCCGGTGACCTTACAATCCACTAGAAACCTCTGTGGCCAATCAATCCACCAAACGTGTTTGTGACAATCCACAAGAAGACACTGTGACCACACGGTCTACCAGAAACCCAAGAGGTTACAATCACCCAGAAGCAATTTTGACAATCATTGATCCATCTGTCAAGCCACCGTACATTTCACAACCAACACAGACATCATTGATCCATCTGTCAAGCCACCGTACATTTCACAACCAACACAGACATCATTGATCCATCTGTCAAGCCACCGTACATTTCACAACCAACACAGACATCATTGATCCATCTGTCAAGCCACCGTACATTTCACAACCAACACAGACATCATTGATCCATCTGTCAAGCCACCGTACATTTCACAACCAACACAGACATCATTGATCCATCTGTCAAGCCACCGTACATTTCACAACCAACACAGACATCATTGATCCATCTGTCAAGCCACCGTACATTTCACAACCAACACAGACATCATTGATCCATCTGTCAAGCCACCGTACATTTCACAACCAACACAGACATCATTGATCCATCTGTCAAGCCACCGTACATTTCACAACCAACACAGACATCATTGATCCATCTGTCAAGCCACCGTACATTTCACAACCAACACAGACATCATTGATCCATCTGTCAAGCCACCGTACATTTCACAACCAACACAGACATCATTGATCCATCTGTCAAGCCACCGTACATTTCACAACCAACACAGACATCATTGATCCATCTGTCAAGCCACCGTACATTTCACAACCAACACAGACATCATTGATCCATCTGTCAAGCCACCGTACATTTCACAACCAACACAGACATCATTGATCCATCTGTCAAGCCACCGTACATTTCACAACCAACACAGACATCATTGATCCATCTGTCAAGCCACCGTACATTTCACAACCAACACAGACATCATTGATCCATCTGTCAAGCCACCGTACATTTCACAACCAACACAGACATCATTGATCCATCTGTCAAGCCACCGTACATTTCACAACCAACACAGACATCATTGATCCATCTGTCAAGCCACCGTACATTTCACAACCAACACAGACATCATTGATCCATCTGTCAAGCCACCGTACATTTCACAACCAACACAGACATCATTGATCCATCTGTCAAGCCACCGTACATTTCACAACCAACACAGACATCATTGATCCATCTGTCAAGCCACCGTACATTTCACAACCAACACAGACATCATTGATCCATCTGTCAAGCCACCGTACATTTCACAACCAACACAGACATCATTGATCCATCTGTCAAGCCACCGTACATTTCACAACCAACACAGACATCATTGATCCATCTGTCAAGCCACCGTACATTTCACAACCAACACAGACATCATTGATCCATCTGTCAAGCCACCGTACATTTCACAACCAACACAGACATCATTGATCCATCTGTCAAGCCACCGTACATTTCACAACCAACACAGACATCATTGATCCATCTGTCAAGCCACCGTACATTTCACAACCAACACAGACATCATTGATCCATCTGTCAAGCCACCGTACATTTCACAACCAACACAGACATCATTGATCCATCTGTCAAGCCACCGTACATTTCACAACCAACACAGACATCATTGATCCATCTGTCAAGCCACCGTACATTTCACAACCAACACAGACATCATTGATCCATCTGTCAAGCCACCGTACATTTCACAACCAACACAGACATCATTGATCCATCTGTCAAGCCACCGTACATTTCACAACCAACACAGACATCATTGATCCATCTGTCAAGCCACCGTACATTTCACAACCAACACAGACATCATTGATCCATCTGTCAAGCCACCGTACATTTCACAACCAACACAGACATCATTGATCCATCTGTCAAGCCACCGTACATTTCACAACCAACACAGACATCATTGATCTATCTGTCAAGCCACCGTGCATTTCACAACTAACACAGACATCGCACGATCCATCTGTCAAACCACCGTACATTTCACAACCAACACAGACATCACTGGATTCATCCCCTGTCCAAGCCACCGTACATTTCACAACCAACACTGACATCGCAGGCCATCTGTCAAGCCACCGTGCATGTCACTACCAACTCGAACAGCCAGTGATCCATCTGTCAAGCCACCGTGCATTTCTACATCCTAACACAGACAATCCATCTGTCAAGCCACCGTGCATTTCACAACCAACTAACTCAGACATCCACTGATCCATCCTGTCAAGCCACCGTGCATTTCACAACCAACACAGACATCACTGATCCATCTGTCAAGCCACCGTGCATTTCACTAACCAACTCAGACATCCTTGGATCCATCTGTCAAGCCACCATGCATTCCACATCCAACACAGACATCATTGATCCATCTGTCGCTTTCACCGTGCATGTCACTACCAACTCCGGAGCATCACTGATCCATCTGTCAACCACCGTCCATTTCACAACCAACACAGACATCATTGATCCATCTGTCAAGCCACCGTACATTTCACAACCAACACAGACATCATTGATCCATCTGTCAAACCAACACAGACATCACTGATCCATCTGTCAAACCACCGTACATTTCACAACCAACACAGACATCACTGATTCATCTGTCAAGCCACCGTACATTTCACAACCAACACAGACATCACTGACCCATCTGTCAAGCCACCGTGCATGTCACTACCAACTCAGACAGCCATTGATCCATCTGTCAAGCCACCGTGCATTTCACATCCAACACAGACATCACCGATCCATCTGTCAAGCCACCGTGCATTTCACAACCAACTCAGACAGCACTGATCCATCTGTCAAGCCACCATGCATTTCACTACCAACACAGACATCATTGATCCATCTGTCAAGCCACCGTACATTTCACAACCAACACAGACATCACTGACCCATCTGTCAAGCCACCGTACATTTCCCTTACAACCAACACAGACATCACTGATCTATCTGTCAAGCCACCATGCATGTCACTACGAACTCAGACATCACTGATCCATCTGTCAAGCCACCGTGCATTCCACATCCAACACAGACATCATTGATCCATCTGTCAAGCCACCGTGCATGTCACTACCAA